AGTTAGAATCTTATATTTCTATGATTCTATCTCATGAGAATTTAAATTCACTTTGTATTACTAATCCATTTCTAATAATATTTTAAGCTCACATTCAGCTTACAATTAACTTAGAAAATTATCCTATTTTATAGGCACTTAGAGTAGAAAGAATCCTAATAACAACAATGGACAAGGTTCAGTATTTCAAAATTTTCTAGAGTTATATAAGTTGTTTTGGCATGAGATTTGAGCCAAAATTTCAATAACTTAATTACCTGCAATATTGATGAAGGAAATAAATTCAAATACCCTATAGAATAGATGCAGTTTTCAGTTTTCAGTGGTTGTTTCCAACTAGGCTCAACTACAATAACACTCTGAACATGCCTTAGTAATTGGATTATAACTCTTGCTACACATAAGCTATTGACATGAAACAAATTTCTAAATTTCGGGAATATAATTTTCTACAACTTTTATGAAGGAATCAAGTCCTAATTTCATACGTATCTATCCCAGTAATTCAAAAACCGAGGCTGTTGAAACAGGGCAACATCTTAACGTCACAGCTAGAACACTTGACAGTAAAATGGGTATAACTTGAGCTACTAATATCCGTTTAATGTAAAACCAGTTTCTAAATTTCGACAACTTAAAGAGCTACAACTTTCATGAAGATACCAATTCCTAATTCTGTTCACACAAGTCCCAAAAATTCAATGAATAGTACCTACGAATTAGGGCTCTTAAAGTTTTTAGCTTAACAACTTCTAATCCTCAATTTTAAGCATCATTCTAGTATTCTAGGTGTAAAACCTACAATAACCTTCTTCCTACATCCATTCAAGTTGAGCCAAGTGAGGAGAAAAATAGAAAATGCACCGTTTTGAAAAATAAAACGGTAGAAATGTAGAGGAGATTGAGATAAACCAACTTACCTCTTGGAGCTTCTCAAGAAAATCAAGATTTTCCCGTTAAAATCAAGTTTGAAGGTAAGGAAATTTTGAGAGAAAGAGAGAAACAATGAACCTACGAAAAATTTGCATAATGGTACTCTTTCATTTAAAAGTCAAATTTCGAGTCCTATTTCACCTAATTTTCCGCTCAGCGGATTTATCGTGCTCACGGATATGAGGCCGCAAGTAATAAGATTTAACTCACAATCCGCTCAGCGATTTATCGTGCGCCTACGGATATGTGGCCGCAAGTAAGATAGAGATTTCGAACCACAATCCGCTCAGCGATTTCGATGCGCCAGCGGATCCCAAAACTCTCGTTCTAATCGATTAAAAACCTGTTGATCGATTATCAGACATAATCCGCTCAGCGATTTTCGTATGCTCAACGGATTATATTACAAAAAAATTATCTTCATTTTACTCCTAGCCAAGATTTGAACCCACAACCCCTAAGACTCCAACATCACTCCAAACCATATTAACCATCATATGTTTCTTGTCAATTTATACACATAATAAACTTTTAATGTACCCACACTCAATGCATAAAAGAAAACAATAATTTCTAAATGTGACAATTAAAATTGTTAATTCCATACTCTTTTAATTTCAACCCTAAATCATAGAATTACTATGCAGAGGCCCAGTTGCTCGCGAAACGGATCAATTTTAAGTATTTTCTAAAAATTCTAGAAAAATTCTAGAAAAACACAAATAATCTAACAAACATCAAACTCTACAGTTTCTTCACCCAATTCTTAATAATTTAATTATTAAAAGTTTGACAAAGATTTTGTCAAAATTTAACAAACCAGGGATATTGAGAATCGGGATGTTACAACAACACACTACTTTCATTCTCTCTCTCTCTCTATATATATATATATATATATATATATATATATATATATATTTGTTTTTTTTTTCTAAAATTATTTCGAAATCATTTCCGAAATCATTTCCGAAACTATTTCCGAAACTATTTTCGAAATCATTTCCGAAATCATTAAATTACTATTTTGTCCTTAATCTTTTCTTAAAATTCCATGTATGTCCCTAAATGACTATTTTACCCTTGGACATTTTTGAAAATTCCTTCCATGTCCCGAAAATGACTATTTTACCCTTGAACAATTTTGAAAATTCCATTTATGTCCCTAGGATATAAAATGACTATTTTGCCCTTGAACATTTTCGAAAATTGCATTTATGTCCCTAGGATGAAAAATGACTATTTTACCCTTGATCTTTTTTAAAAATCCCCACCATATCTCTTTTTTCTTCCTTCGCCCAATAACAGTATCGAATTTTGCAGATTTTGGCAGATTTTAAATTACTCGAGTTTTAGACAACCAAACTAGTCCTAAATCGAAATTAAACATGAATTATGTCTAATTTAAGTTGAAAACAACAATTTTACCATATAATTCATCCTTAATTTCAAGAATTTCATCAATATTTAAAATTTTGCAAAATATGAATAGTAATCACCTCTAGTACGCCATTTTCAAAATCCAGGTTTCAAATTTCTCAGTTTCAATCACCCAAATTAGTTCCAAATCAAAACTAAACCATGAACATGTTCAATTTAAGTTAAAAACAACAATTTTATTATATAATTCATCCTTAATTTCAAGAATTAAAAAAAAAATCAAACGGTGAACAGTTCATCAGAATCAGAAATTCTTCAAAATCAGACATTCAAATAATTCGTATCTCTACTCCTATTCCTTATTCACATGGTATTCACAGAGTACCCAACAATTCAATTTCATATATTGAATGAATTAAACTTCCCCTTACCTTGTATGGTATTTCTACCGAAGTTTTTTCACTTAATTCAAACTCTCTCCTGTTTCACCGAGATCCTGTAGGAGTAGAGTATCGTTGCTTGAAATTTAGACAAAAGAAGAAGAAGGATGAGAGGAAATTTTTATTCTCGCCTCCTCCCCTTCAGGACGCGCATATATAAAAGCAAAAATTTAGTGTGCATGAGGAAAACTTCGTTACGAAGTTTTCTTGCACAATAATCTTATTATAATATAAAAAACATACGTCACATTTATAGGAAAAATGCATGCATGATTTCGTCAAACCAATTTCTTTCGTTTACAATGTCTTTGAATGATAAACTTTTAGAATTTATTTTATTAAGATAATTTAAGAAAATATTTTATTAATTTATTAGAATCTCATATCTGATTTAAGAAAATGATATATTTTGTGTAATTATGATTCATGAATTTGGTATATTATATTTATTATTGGTATCTTTCCATATATTATAGGAATAATATTAGTTTGACCTTTAGTTTCACTAAGAGTGTTTATGTAGGTGTTAAGGATAATTTCATTGTTGATTTTAGCTCAATATATAATATTGAAAATTAAAATATTAATTATATTATATTATATTATATATATATATATATATATATATATATATATATATATTGGTGTGTAAACTTTTATTATATTTGTTCCTTTTTATGTTATCATAAAAATTATGATTTAATGCATGAATGATGTAATAATTAATTATGTGGAAAAGATATATGTGATGTGTTGTGAAAGTAAACCTAATAATTTGAGATATATATAATGTATTTAATTTAAGATCCTTTTAATATTCTAATTTTCCAACATCATGAGATATAGCTTATACATTGGATATTTGACACTTACTTTTTCTATACTTGTCATGCATGATAGATTTATTTATGATATAATATTTATATGATGAAGAATTTTATTCGTAACTTATCATGATATATGGTGTATATTAATAAGAATTATTGTAATTATATTATTATTTACAAAATAAATTATACAATAAGTCAAAACATTAATAACTGAGGACGATTATGGTAAAGATTTTATAATATTTAATTTTAAACATTCATATATTTGAATCTTGTAATATTTGATTTTACTTGTGTGTATTTTAAAACTTAAAGTTAATATGTTTTTACCTTGTAAAGTTAAATTATAAATAAGATATAAAAAAATATATATCAAAAGTAAAATATAATTTATCAAATAAAGTAAATATTTTTTTAATATACTTATATTTTAATTAAGTTATTAGTTTATAGTCGAAATTTTCTTGAATAAATATATTGGTATTATATTTAAAATAGAGGGTGCATTAATGTAAAATGGAAGATATAAATTTTATTAATAAACATATGTGAATGGTTCTATCCACGACCTAACACAACCGCTCATTTATGTTACTATATCATATATAAGTCAACATAAAATATGTGAAAAGACTTTATTATAAAAATTTTGCAATTTTTTAATAACAAATGTTTAAAAATAAGATATTTTCTCATTTTTTTAGAAAATAAGGAAATTATTTATTTGAAAAATAAAATTTTAAAAATTATTTTTCAACTCATCATTATTTCTTTTAATTTAATAATCTAAGATTATAATTTATTTTGATAATTATATTACGAGGCAAATAACAATGAAATATATATGGGCTGATGTTAACCATGGATATATTATTAATTGAACGATTATAAAAGTTATGAAAGAGAATGAACATAGGAAAAAATTATCTCTATGCCTTTAAAATTAAAAAAATATATTTAAAATGTTATTATTTCTTAGGTACCATTAAAAATTATATACCTCGTCATTTATTATCGTAAATGTTATCAAACCAACTTTTTGTTTTCTTATTTGAAGGATTAAATCATAATGTATAGGAACTAGAAAAAAAATTATACTAAACACAAATTTTTTAATAATATATTTTATACTTAATCTTCTTTAAAGATATAAATATATTTTAAAAGCTAAGTACATAAAATATTTTCACCGAGGTATATAACATCGTTGACCACTCTAAAATAAAAATAATAAAATTAAAGTAGAAAATAACTATTTTACTCACACTCATTATTAATAACCATAGAAAAATATATAAACAAGGATTGAAATGAATAACATGAAAACATCATTAACAAAATCAAATATATTTTATATTATAAAAAAACTTAAAAAATAAGATAAAAAAATTGACATGAAAGTGAAAATTCATAGGACCTAGGTATGTTGTTGACGAATATGGATATGTTCCTCAGAGTTCTTGTTTATCTTCTTGTTGCAAGCCAGAATCCACTTTATGATTTCTAAAATGACGACAATTATACCCAATGATATGATTATGCCCAAATAGTTCTTCTTCCAAATAGTTTGAGCATTCAGAACGTCAAAACCTTTCAACACATTCCAAATGCCCATGGCAATAGTTGCATAGCCAACTACGTAATGAAAAATGTTCCAAAATATTCTCAACTTGTGATCCTTCTTAGGTCTCAGACACACAGCAACACAGACTTGGATAAATGCAAGACACATAAGAGTGATTCCAACGCATCGATGAGGAGTATTATGAACACCATAATGATTTCCAATATACAAACCACTAACAAAACCAACCACACCAATCAAGAAGGCTAGTGATTGACATGCACGATGCAAGTCAAACCAAACAGATCCTAAACCTTCAAATACCTTCAAGTAACGACCCAATATAACTCCAATCGGCATCATTATTCCCCAACTCACTGTATTCAAAATCCCATGAACCTGAATAAATTACAAGATGGTAATTAGTCATGCATTCTAAATTCTAAAATTTAAATAATCACAAACAATGTGTCTTCATTCTCTAAATCTAAATAAACAAGACAAAAAAAAAATCAATAAAACTGATAAACAGGATAAGTCTAAATTTCTTACATTTTTCAATGTGACTCGCGAGGTCACGTCTTCATCGGATTCTGAAATCTTGCCCGACATGAAATCGATGGTTCCGTATGATTGAAGATTAGAGCGTGCGAAAGAGTGAGACCTTAAAGTGCCATCATTGGAAACTAAACCTTCTTGCCAAACGTGGTTTACCATAGTCTTATTCACAGGAAGTTGAAAACTCGTAAAGATGATGATGTGGTTGTTTGTGTATGATGCAGAAATGCTATAAACTGGAAAACTGAGATTGCCCTCTTGTAGCATAGTTGCATAACTTGTTATTGGCGATGTATATGCTTTGATGTTTCCGTCTTGTCGATGAACAACCATGAATGCTTGTGAACCTATCATTCCCTTGGAGGTAGGGTTGATGGCCCATGCAACCCAGCTTGAGTCCTTTGCGTTGGCCTTGTTGAATGCAACATCGACTACACCTGACGATGGGTGATAGTTCCAATGTAACGAGGATTCAAGAACAGACAAATCTTCGCATGCTGCGTAGTTTATGTTCTTTTGAAACTTAAATGAGTTGCATGGTTGTGAGATGGTAGGAACAACCATGATAACTAAACTTGTGATCAAGAAGTAGATTATGTTTGGAATGAAAGTCATGATGAGAAACTTGCTTCAAACTTTTGTGACATAATGAACATTGCTTACACGTCTATTTATAGTTTATGGAAAACATGATATTTATCTTATATGATAATTTAAAATTATCTTTTAAAAGTTTTTATTTTATTTCAAAGAATTGAAAATATATTATTTAATAAAGATCTTATTTTTTTTATTTGAAAATATATTCTTTATTTAATTGAAATATTATTTTGTATTTACAGTATAAATAAAATCATCTTGGGATCAAAGAGCAATTAGATATAAAAGATAAAATTAACAAAACCAAACTTGAATGAATTTAGTTATTAAAATTTCATTTAATCAAAAGCAGCTATTAATTTTTAATAAATCAAAATTTAAAAAATACGGTTATTTTAAGATTAGAATGTAGTATTATATATATATATATATATATATATATATATATATATATATATATATCAAATCTTAAATATAGAATAAATGAAACATCTAGTTATATAAATGTTTTTCCCAAATTATCTTTTCACCAAATAAAATATTTACAACTAGTTAACGTTTAGTATTAAATTTTTAATTTTAAAATATATATTAGAAACTGAACTACTCAATTTTTGAATTTACAAAATTTGAATTAGTTAAGGTTTATGTAAACAAAAACATTTAAAATTTAAAATAAAAGAAATTTAAACTTTGAATTTGGCGCAGTTATCTTCGTTATGGTAATATTTAGACTCAGTAGCTACAAAATTTTGTACGAATAAATATCTTTCCTAATTTGGATTGAAATCTTCAAATTAAATATATATATATATATATATATATATATATATATATATATATTACTTAAACCTGAATTGTTTTATTTTAATTTTCAGCATTTTATTCAGATAAATCAATTCAATTTTTAAAATTTTTAAATTCTTAATTTAAAAATGATAATATAATATTTACATCATTTTGAAAAAATAACTAATTTTTGAACCCAATTTTCTTTTAAAAAATATGAATGATAAAAGTGGAGTAATAATAAAATTAGATTTAAAATTTAAATAATTAATAGAGTCTAATCAAAATTAAGAAAATACTATTTTTTCATAATTTAGTAAATATATAATAAATTCATTAAAAATATATTTTATAAAAATAATATAATAATAAAATTTCTATCATGATGATTATAAATTATAATAGAAATTTTAAATATAAAATATAGTTATTATTTAAAATTCACATGCTAACATAAGATAAAGGAAAAAAAATTATAAATATTATATCAATTATAAAAATATATTTTAAAAAATAAAATATAATCAACATAATATAATTAAAATATAATAGGTAAAATATGTTCTTTCGTATAGTCTCCGTCGAGGTATATTATGATTCTGTCTGTTAATTTAACAATTATGATTAAAAAGTTAATTGATTAAACAGTAATGCATGAGAATTGAAAAAAAAATTATACTAAATAAAAGTATTTAATAATCTATATATATAAAAACATATTTTACCTAAGTATTATATAAACTGAAAATTTAAACTTTAACTCTAGTTATAAAATTGAATCACCTTTTTCAATTAAACATATTTTTACATAAATTAAATTTTATTAATATTGTAATCCAATTATTTAATGCGAAATTTTTTTTTTTTCAAATGTCAAAACTCCTGTCGATAAAATTGAAAGACATAAGTATAGTTTTTAATTTTATGATAATAAGCAACTTGCTAAAATGAAGAATGATTTCTGTAAATATTTATATAGGACATATTTTATAACAAAAGTTTTGAAAAATAAAATGATCTAGTGAATTTTAAGACCCCAAATAAATAATTTAAAACTGTTATTATACTTCTTTTATTAAAATAATATATTTTGTAATATATTTTTGAGTTATTAACAAAATAATAAATATATTATAAATTAATAATATTTTGGTAAACTTCTTTGATAAGGATTGATAAAATCGGTTGTAAATATACAGAAAAGTTTGAGATTTTTATCTCATGCTTAAAAATAAATATAAAATATTTACGTTTCAAATCTTAATTCTAAAAATATTATCTCTTTCAACTTTAAATTTTTTAACTTATCTTTAAGATCTTTTATTCATTTTTTTTAATTTAAATATGCTTTAATGATCCTAACAAGAAAAAAAATCTATTGGATTGAAACATTACATAAACTATTTTTTTTTTGCATTTTTTTTCAAAGGGAGTTACATGTATGTAGAGTTAAGAATAACATGAATCTTATAATCTTATTGCATTTGTCGATCTTTGGTTAAGGAAATGTTTTTATTAACTTAAGATTTTTGTTCTGTGTTTGATCCGTGGACATAGGATTTTTGAGAATAGGAATCTGGAGTCTTGTTAAACTAGGTTATATTTGAGAATTTTTAAAATGGTTTATACTGAAAATAACTTGAATTGAGGTAAGCAAAACTAGTAAGTTAACTCTCTAGTGTGTTAAAATTAGATGGTGTGAAGATAATATAGTGACTTGAAAATTAGTTTTATGCAAAAATGAGTAATTGGTAGAATTGGGGTTGAGAACTTTTTAAGAAATTATGCAACTATTATTTACATGATTGTCACTCAAACAATGAGGTTTGTAAATTAGGAGGAATGATTTCAAGTTATTTTTATTTAAATGAGATCTTTCTTACTCAAGTAAGATGTTTCTAAAAGAGAGCATTGTTTTAATCTTATTTTTGCTTAAACGAAAATAAGACTGAGAGTTAAGCTATAGGTATGAAAGTTTTCACAGATGTTGAATGATTTTTCCTTCAATATAATTATTAAAATAAATTATAATTTTAGATTATTAAATAAGAAGAAATAATGATGAGTTAAAAAATAAATTTTAAATTTTATTTTTAAAATAAATTAATTCCTCATTTTATAAAGTAGCGAAAAAAATATCTTAATTTTAAACTTTTGTTATTAAAAAATCAATTTATATTCTTAAAAAAAATGAAAAAATTTTATAATAAAATTGTTGCACAATTGAAATTTTTCTTGCTCAAATGATATTTTCTTGTTTATATATGTATGTAGGTTGGTAACAATTTATTTTATGTTTGCTCCTTTCTATTTTATGAAATTGTAAGCATAAAAATCATGATTTAATGTAAGAATGATTTGATAACTAATTAGGTAAAAAATATGTATGTAATACATGATATGTGTGATGGAAGTAAAGATAACAATTGGAAATATTATATTAAGATAAATGTGATATATTTAACTTAGAATTCTAAAGGAAATATCTTAATTTTATTAATATTAGACTCACAATAAATGGACTATTTTTTTTTTCAAAATTGTGCTCAACTTCATATATGACAATTCCGTTAAGATCTCTTTATATATATATTGGGTCCGCACAAATAGGATTTTTTGAGGAACATGTTAATAAATAATTGAATTTAGTTAGACAATATGTGGTTGGGAAACAAGAATCAATTTTTTAACAAGGTACACAATGTATCATCAAATCTTCAATATGATTCCATGAGATATAATTTCATTCAAATAACGTATTCTAGTCAATTAAAATAATCTTTTGATCAATTTAAAGATTATTTCGATTCTATTAAGAACGAAGATTTGAAATATCACACGTTAATCTATAATTGATGGTTGAGATTTTTATAATTTAGATTTTTATTTAGAAGAAAAATGATTTTAACAAGTCATAAAAATAATATAATTAGTAAAAACTCTATATCTAATTGAATAAATATAAGTCTTTTTAAAATAAATTAAATTAAATTAAAGTGTTTGTGATATATATATATATATATATATATATATATATATATATATATATATATATATATATATATATAAAATGTGAACAAATTAGGTGGTAGATAATAAGTCAAAATATTATTGTACATAAAAGAATATAGTAAAAGTTTTATAATATTTGATTTTAAAAATTTTACTTATATCGTGTTTCTGAGTCTTATACGATTTTTTTCTTTTTCTTTTAAAACCTTAAATATCTAATATAAATATTTAAAATATTCATATATTTGTATTTCATTATATTAATGTTACAACCCTTATGTTTTAACTTAGTATTTTGGAATGTAATAATTCTATTTTAAAATAGTTGTTGGATAAAAAATTATATAGAATGTAAAATGTTAAACTCGCGGACAAAAAGATTAAAACTGGTATAAGAATCCACTTTGCCCATCGGCACAAATTATTAATGGATGGGTTAGTATTTTTTTCCTCTAAAAAAAATTAAGTTTAATTTTTTTTTAATTTTATTGATTTTAAGATATCAATAAATATATATATATATATATATATATATATATATATATATATATATATAAGATATGAATAATATATGTAAAATGTTTTTATAAATCATTTCCGCACTTCTTTTCTAATATCTCGATGTTGCCAAAATTAAACCAAATATAATAAAATTAAAAAAATATATTTTTCTCTGTTTGTTCAAATATGTAAAGTTAATAGGCTTTTATCGTATAAAGTTACTTTATAAATAACATGTAAAATAAAAAATTAAAAAATCAATATAATTTAGGAGTTGAGTTTAAATACATTTTTTTCTCTTAATTTATCAAAATATTTTTTAAAAATAAAATTATGATAGATAAAAATTTAAAACTGATAATACCTCAAATATAAAACTTGTTCATATCAAATATGACGTGGATGCTCTTGATTTTAATCCGAACACTTATTAAATAAAATAAATATTTTTTTAATATACTTATATTTTAATAAAAATATTAATTATGATTGAATTATTCATAAATAAATATATTGGTATTATATTTAAGATAGAGAGTGCAGGAATATAATATTCTAATATATAAATTTTTATTAATAAACCTTATCCGAAACATTACAAATAAGAGAAAAAGTGATAAAAAAAAATTAATAATAAACATACGTGAATATTTTCCTCTTAT